AGTTTAGCATTTATATGTTTGGAGGGACAGGAAGCCCGGTTAGACTTCACAGTAGATAAGCTTTGCAAAGATTTTGCGATCAGGGAAATGATTATATCTGCGTAGAATATTGAAATTATTGTTTTACTTGAACAGGAACCGCGGAGCATAATTTTCATTGCAATGTGCGCTAAGTGGAGACCGGACATCTAGTGAGAAGCGTCAGGTGAATTCAAAATGGCGGCCAAATTAGCGGCTCTGCGGTGCCCGAAGACAAGATACTTGGAAAGGAAAAGTGTAACGGATTTAGAAACCCTTGCAATTCGAAACGATTGGAAATCATACAAAGACTAAGGTTTGCTTTCTTTCAATGCAAAACGAGTCAATTGACAGGCGGCGATACACAAATGGACCATCGAAATTTTTTCACATTAAAAACTGATAATAGAAATGTTATAAAACCTACAATAACAGCAAACAAAAAGGTAAAAAAAAGAAGAAAGAAAAAGAAAACATGCAAGAAGGAGGCGGTGAGGTCACCCGTCCCATGTTAGGCAGGAAATAAACGGACCCCAAGCACTGATGTCTACCCTGTGTACTACTGTAAGACGGTTATGACGTGTCGCGCAAAGTTTAGCATCGATATGTTTGGAGGGACAGGAAGCCCGGTTAGACTTCAAAGTTGATTAGCTTTGCAAAGATTTTGCGATTAGGGAAATGATTATATCTGTGCAGAATATTGAAATGACCTTGTTTTACTTGAACAGGAACCGTGCAGCATAATTTTYATTGGAGTGTGCGCTAAATCGGGACGGGACATCTAGCGAGAAGTGTCAGATGAATTCAAAATGGCGGCCAAATTAGCGGCTCTGCGGTGCCTGAAGACCAGAAACTTGGAAAGGAAAAATTGAACGGATTTAGAACCCTTGCAATTCGAAACTATCGGAAACCATACAAAGACTAAGGTTTGCTTTCTTTCCATGCAAAACGAGTCAATTGACAAGCGGCAAAAAATAATGGACTATCGAAATTTTTTCACATTAAAAATATTATTAAAAATGTTATAAAACCGATAATAACAGAATAAAAGGAAAAAAAAAACGAAGAAAGAAAAAAAAAATGACATGCAAGAAGGTGGCCGTGAGGTCACCCGTCCCATGTTAGGCAGATAATCAGCGAGGGAGGAAATAGACGGACCCCAAGCTCTGATGTCTATCCCTGAAATTTCACCCCTAAAAGGGACCAATCAATAACAGGTCATTTTGTTTTAGTTGAATGCAGCACCTACCTTTCATAGGAAATATGACAGCTTAGGGACGTCATATACCCTAAAAGGGACCACAAAACTCAGTTGG